GCCCCGTCTCCTTTCCACAGAGCCCAGGAGAGGGACGCGCCTCACAGGGTGCGTGAGGGGTGTCTGCCGCAGGCATCCTGCGGAGCAGTGTCTTCACAGTCCCAGCATCTGTAGTAATCTGCGCAGCAGCAAGTCAGAACAGAAGCAGCTCCAGCAATAAAAAACAGTTTCAGAAGTCTCTGTGCTGTAAAGGCTGGACTTGAAGCAACAGCAGACTTAGCACACGGTGACTGTAACTGGTTTATCGGTTTGGACACGAGGAGGATGGATCAGCCCGAGCTGTGGCAAGGCACCCGGAGCCAGATGAAGGGATGGGGGAGAGCACGTTCACAGGGACCGATGAAAGGGACGCCGCAGTGGTGGGCACCTGCACCCAGGCCCCTCCACTCCAGCGAGAGCTCAGGCAACAAAACCTACTCCACAGCTGAATCTGCATCAGTCCAAGCTAAACTGCTCAGGAAGCCGCACAGTTCATGTCACAGGAGCGGCTCCGTTACCCCGACTGGAGCTCGTGCTTTATAAAACTGGACCCCACCTGCAAAAGAGAACTCCTGAGCCTTGCCATCAGCCCCCAACGACAAGCACAGAAACGCACCTGCCGTCAGTGGCCCCTCTCCACCGCGGCCAAAGCCTTCCCCAGGAGCGTGAGGAAGCGTGCCAGGGTGCCGCAGAGACATCCGTCTCTGAGCCTTGAGAATGACCTGGGCAAGATCCCCCAGGCTGGTCGCTCAGGTGCCATTCTCTGTGGGCTTCTGGGTTCCCCAGAATCAGGTCTGTGGGATAAGGAGGGCTACCTGCCCTATGGTCATGTTGCTTTTTGGAGGGCAGGGGAGGAAAACAGAACAAAACTCCGTACTCACATCTCCCAGAATAGTCAGGGTGCACCCACGGGATCTCGCCTCGTAAACTGGAGAAGGGCGGGGTGGGGGAGCACCACTCCCTCGGCTCTCGGCTCTCTGCGGCTCTAATTATACCCAGCACAGGAGAATGTGAAGGCTCTGCAAGCCCTCTTTAGCTTAGACTCCAGCGCGTGCAGGTTGGCCTGGGGGAGGAGGAGCCCCCTAGGAGTCAGCACTGAACTTCAAATAGCATTCTACTTCGTGAGGAGAGAACTCCTGTGTGATGACACCACACAAAGGCTCTGCACGATACAACCTTCCCCACCTGCCACGGGTGGGCAGAATCTGGGGCGACCTACAGACTGCACGTCACGTGTGGGCCTTGTTTCATGTTACAAAAGGGGAAACGTGGTACAGCATGGCTTTTGCGTCTGATTCTCACATGCGCTGGCTTCTGTGCAAAGCGTTTGGCCAGTTCTGCACCAGTTCCTCCCTTTGTACGCACCGACGAGCAAACCTTCACCCAGAATGACCCAGCCTTTCTGTGGCACAGTAATGAGTTCCTCTGGGAAATGCAGATGCCACAAACAGAGATCCATCACGTTAAATAAGCCAATAAATGTGGAACATTAAATCCACAGGCAGGTGCGGGAGAGGATAATTGCTCAATTCTTTTATACTTCATTAAAGCATGCAAGAAGATTCATTTAACAGCGACTTCCTTGACCATATTTTTAAATATTTAATTCTCAAGCATTTGATGTAACACAATTATCTGAGAGACGAAATTGGGAAAATAATTGGCATTTTTGAGTACTGCTACATCACAAGCACTTTATGCTAGGCATTTTACTTTTTTTCCACTTAATTAGCAATAATTTATCAAGCACCTACTATGAGCTAGGTCTGTCCTGGGTGCTAAGGCTACAAAACCAATGGAGAAAAAAAAAAAAATCCCTGCTTGCAGAGCTTAGTAGAAAACCCAGAACATTCATTATTAGCAAGAAAATTGTCCAGGCCCTCAGAGAAAGACCAGCCAAGGAGAAAAGTGGGAGGAACTTTCAAACGGGCACAGTGCCTGGGGGAGGCATGCTGAGAGATGGCTGCACTAAAGCCCTGGAGGGCCAGACTGACGCATCCACTGAGACAGGAGGAGGCCAAGGGCTGTGGCAAAGGCTCTGAGATGGGTGTGCACCTGGCACACTGGAGGGGCAGGAAGGAGGCCGCAGGGCCCGCGAGGAGGTGAGTGGGGCTGGGAAGTTCACCCAGGCTGTGGCAGGTCTGGAGGAGGGTTCTGAACTCGGGGTTTCAAGGAGCTGCTACCCTGAGAAAGACCCAGGGCACAAGGGTAGACGCAGGGAGAGCAGTCAGGAGGCCACTGCAGGGAACGGCGGACAGAGATGACCATGGCTGCTGTGGGACCCAGCGAGAGGTGGGAGGAGACCGGACCCTGCTGAAGAGGGAACTCCAGGGATTCGGCTGGTGGACCCCTGGTGACCCTCTGAGAATGAGACCGACTGCCAGGACGGACCCGAGGTTTCTGATGCCAGTGACTGACACGGAGCTGCCTTGCAGAGATGGGAGTGCCCCAGGCCACATCTGCCTGCTTTTGTACAGGCGGGAGCTTAAGGCCGACTTTCACAGATTGCCAAGGTTTGTAAAAGCAAAAAAAGCAACAACAACAACGAGCAAGAAATAGAACACACAGAAGAAGTCGTCAAAGCCTAACTATTCACCATCTCCTGTCAAAGTATGGTGATGCCGGGTGGTAAGAGGCATGCTGTGGGGAGGAACAGGAGCTCAGGCGGGCCCTGCTAGGCGTAGGGCCCCTCAGACTCCCTGGGCAGACCCTGAGTGGCAGCCACGGACGCAGCACTGAGCCCGGGGGAGAGCACACGGCCAATGTCCCACCTGGGAGGCCTGTGACATGAACAGTGTTTGAGGCCTAGAGAGATCACCTGGGCTGTGAGTACGAGAGGAAAGCAGCCAGGGGCTGAGCCCCAGGCCTTCCAAGATGTAGGGATCAGAGACAAGGAGGACCCAGAAGAAGACGTGGGGAGGGGCAGCCAGAGAGCAGGAGGAAACCCGGGCAACGGTGGGGTGCGCCTTCCTGTCAGGGGGCCTCAGCCCCATTCCTGAGAGGCAGGACAGGCCCAGGGCGTCACACCGGCCGCACTCCTCTGATTAGACAGCACCCTGTCTGCTCTCTGCCCACCGCCCAGCCCACTGAACCAGGCGTGAGGCCAGCACACCCCTTACGGTCCCTGTGACACAGCTGCGGACACTCCAGACTCCCCTGGCTCAAGAGACAGATTCTCTACATGTCCGGAGGACTTGAGGGGGTACACAGGGGTCAGTGAGGCTCACTGTTTGTGGAGGTCACGGTTCATGAACAACCACACGGCCCCAGTGCCTTTACGGCCATCATAGCCACTGCCTGTTTTATTTTGATGATGGTTTTTTTAGAGAGCACCTGCTCAAGTTTTACAAGAGCTCAGCCGTAAGCTTCAACCCTGAACCCTGACGAATCCCAGCCAAGCATTCAGCTTTCCAATAAGTCCCTGAAGCTCAACCGAACCCTCCCCAAGCTGTGACCTTGCACCCACAACGTGACTGGTGCCCAGAACACTCTCACAGTAAGGGTGGGACTCAGTAGCTATACCGTGCCCTAAGTTCTGAAATTAAGTCACTGTTGAAATAACTTTGATTTATTTTTTTTTAAAGATTTTTTTTTATTTATTTGACAGGTAGAGTTACAGACAGTGAGAGAGAGAGAGAGAGAGAGAGAAAGGTCTTCCTTCCGTTGGTTCACCCCCCAAATGGCTGCTACAGCCGGCGCTGCACAGATCCAAAGCCAGGAGCTAGGTGCTTCTTCCTGGTCTCCCACGTGGGTGCAGGGCCCAAGCACTTGGGCCATCCTCCACTGCCTTCCTCAGCCACAGCAGAGAGCTGGACTGGACGAGAAGCAACCAGGACTAGAACCCGGTGCCCATTTGGGATGCCGGCACCACAGGCGGAGGATTAGCCAAGTGAGCCACGGCGCTGGGCCCAAAATAACTTTGATTTAAACACCCAATCCCGATTTTTGTATGTAACTGTGCTAAAACAACAGTAAATTTCTAAGCAAAGCTTGTCCATCTGATTCGTGGAGTAGGCACTGGTCCCTCCCACAGACAGGGTTTGTAAGTGAAGTGCAAAGCCGTGAAGCCCTTTCCTGGCTCAGAGAGCAAGCCTTCTCCTGTTCTACGCAGTGCACAGAGACAGCCCTTCCCAGACACTGGGCCCACCTCGGGCTCATCCTCCTGCCCAGGGTCCCGGCACGTCCGTCACTGCACCTGTGTTCCCCTGGCCATCAGGGTCCTCAGCTTTGCAGAACTGTTATCCACAGACCCTGCCTTCGCGGATGACACACAGTGGATCCAAAGGAAATAAGAAACCCGTGAACTGTCCCTTATCAGGCTCAAATCTGCCTGGGTGCTGTTTGTCTTCTATTGCTTTTTACATTTTTAAAAGATTTATCTATTTATTTGAAAAGAGAGATCTTTCATCCACTGGTTCACTCCCCAAATGGCAGCAACAGCCAGGGTTGGGCTAGGCTGAAGCCAGGAGCCAGGAACTCCATCCAGGTCTCCCACATGGTGGCAGGGGCCAAGCACTCAGGTCCTCTGCTGCTTCCCCAGGGCATCAGCAGGGAGCTGGATAGGAAGTGCAGCAGCCAGGACTCTGAATGGTGCTCCTGTGTGAGGCCAGCATTGCAGGAAGTGGATTAGCCTGCTGTGCCACGCCAGCCCCCCACCATTGTTCATATTTTAGGCTGAGCCCCACTTTGGACTGCACACAGGGGGCAGCCTGGATGACACGTCAAGCCGGGTGTGACCAAGGTTGCCCCTCACAGTCCTCAGGCTGGGGAGAAATGTCTGGAAGCAAGGATGCCCGGCTCCCTGCAGCAGTGTCCCTCTCTGTGCCCCAGCCCCCACATGCTCGGACAGTGACCGCCCAACCTCACTAGTGCTGGGAGCCACAGGCTGCCCCAGGACTGAGCACGGGCGGGAGGAAGACGGGCTAGGACTCCACTGCCCTTGTGTCAGTTCTGAAAGACACACAGTGGCTTCCGCCCCGGGAACTCCAGCTTCCGACCACGCACGGAGCCTGGCCACTCACCATCAGCCGTGTGCAGGAGCTTGTGACTTTTCAGCGTCCCTTTCGACTTGAATTTCTTGCCACACATGTCGCACAGGTGGGTCTTCTCAGTGCTGTGACGATTCATGTGAGCCTTGAGGTTGCTCTTGCTACGAGTTGCGTATTCACACAAGGAACATTTGAAGGGCTTCACACCTACCGGGGGACACACATATGCCATTCTGTAAATATGGGCATTGACGCGTACAGACTCCAAGAGAGCAGACAAACAACGCGAAGTGTCTGTCTGGATGAAAGAGTGCACCTGCTGGTCCCCAACATGCCACATCCATTCCCGTGCCTGGCACCTACCCAGCTGCTCCCTCCGTCTGGGAGGCTCCTCCAGCCTGGGTCTCCCAGGTGCCTCCACCTGCAGCCTTCTCTGACCTTCCCAAGTGGCTCTCCCCAGTTCCCTGCCAGCGCTCCCAAGTCCCGTAACTCAGCTGGCTGGAGTGGGCAGTGCCGGTTACAGTGAGCTCTTCCCGTCCGCCTCTCCTCCCGTCCGCTCTGGGAACTCCTTGAGGACAGAGGCCCTGAGCAACTTTCAGGGCACACGGTCATTACATTCAATTAACTGCATTAAACTTAACAAATTAAAGGCGCCAAGGGCCTCTGCAAAAATCAGTGGGATCAGGCACCCAGGATCAGATGTGAAAGCCTGCTTGACTTCATAAAACAAAGCTTTACCGTGCTGGCAGTTGTTGGGCTAGGGACTGAGACCACGGCAGCGTATTGGCATGCAACTCATCTTGCGTTCAGCAAATCCCTACTGAGGGTTAATCCTGGACCTGAGATAGCTGGTGCCCACCTCCACATCCACTGGGAGCCACAGACAAGCAAACAGGCTGTGATGTGCTATGGGGACGACAGAGGGGTCCACGAATCTGAACACAGGGACGTATCAGACAATTCTTAATGAACCAAGCACTTGCACCTGCTATCCACACTGCATCTGGCTCCACACCTGAGGAAACCAGGGCTTTAAAGAGGCTGTGGATGCATCCTGGGGCTCAGAGCTCAGGTGCACACATCAGCCCAACACACTTTGTGGCCTGTGCAAAGCACAGCCCTGGGCTGGGTTTCTGGAGAGCAAAGTGATGTAATCTAACCACAAGCACCACCAGCCTTTGTGACCATGAACCAGTTCCCATGTTTGTCAAGAGATGGGACCAACAGCCACCTCCCAAGGAACCTTCTGGACCCCGTGACCCCTGTTCTGGGCTGCTCATTAATAACACACTCTCCTGAAAGCAGGGCTGTGGCCTGGAGTGAGCTCACGTTACTGCACTGTGTGCTGCCCACCAGGTGTTTCAACACCAGGTCAAAGCTGCAGATGGCTCAGGACTCTGCCCACCATGGAGAAGCCGCACAGACCACAATGGTGGGACACGGCTCAGGGACGCCGACTCTCCACACATCATATCAGTGTCTGAACGGCTGAACTCTACTCAGCTACTGCACGGCCAGGTGCCCTTCTAGAAGGCTCACAGACCTCAAGAATGCTCCCCATCCTGGCGAAGCCAAATTCCTAACTTCTGTTCCTGCTGTGCCTGCAAGGAGACGCGCCAAGCACAGCTACCCAGGGCTTGAAGGAGTATCTCCACTCACGACTTCCCCTCCCACTGGCTGGCTGTGCCGCCGTGCAGAGTCGCCCGACGGCTCTGCAGCCCCGCACTCTCCGGTCACGTGTGCTGAGGGAGCCGGAGGGAGACTCTGGTGCAGACAGGCCAGGTGTCCAAACTCTGGACTGTCCTCAGCTCGGCGCTGGCCCACCACAGGGCCTTAGACACCATCTTCTCCAAGTTCTCTCACTCCCACCCACCGAGACCCACTTCTGACCCACCCTCTTGCTCTCCATGGACCTGCAGCAGAGTTCAGATCCCCTGAGGGACACACGTCACGTGTAAGCCAAACTTCTACACAGACAGCCTATATGACAACAGCGACAACTCTGCGTTTCTTTTTCTCTTGATTTTTTTTTTATCTCTGCTTCTTTAGTTCCCTGTTCTACTCTGAGAATATGCAGAGGGCAGGAAGTGTTACGGTGCAGAGATCAACCCCAAGGGCCCCAAACACTGCCCTGGGAGTACAGACCTGCTTTTTCGACTTGCAGGGCCTCATCAAAGAAACTCATAGGTGAACATCTGTCACCATCCTGAAGTTGTTTAAAATGCTGGGATATTTTCAGACACATCGTGCGTCATCACATGTAACAGTTATTAATTTACAGACATATCACATGTCATCACATGTAATGGTTAATTTACAGACACATCACATGTCATCACATGTAACAGTTATTAATTTACAGACATGTCGTGTGTCATCACATGTAATGGTTATTAACTTAGGCACGTCACGTGTCATCACATGTAAGTTATTAATTTAGACACATCGCATGTCATCACATGTAACAGTTATTAATTTACAAACACATCACACGTCATCACATGTAACAGTTATTAATTTACAGACACATCACATGTCATCACATGCAACATTAATTTACAGACACGTCACGCATCATCACATGTAACAGTTATTAATTTACAGACACATCACATGTCATCACATGTAACAGTTATTAATTTACAGACACGTCACGTGTCATCACATGTAACAGTTATTAATTTACAGACACATTGCGTGTCATCACATGTAACAGTTATTAATTTACATGAATTATCTCATCCATCCTTGTAGCACATCACAAAGTAGCTCACAGTCCTAGTTCATAGGTAAGTAAACTGAGTTTAGACAAACTGGATTGTTTGTCCCATCCCACAGCTCTGAAGTGGTGAGGGCAGGATTTGAACCCAGCCCTCTGTCCCTCCAGAGCCTGGAGTCTCTCACATGAGCACAACCACACAGCCTGATGCCTTTAGACACCTAGTCTTCAGCAACCTGGGCTCCGTGCGCCTCCATCGGGGTCAGCTCCCCGTGCCTCCCGTGGGCGCCAAAACCTGCCCTCCAGGCACATGCATGTGCCTCCACCTCCTTTGCCAAGCAAACTGCGGCTACGGACGCCTCAACGTCGTGACAGGAACTAACAGGTGCACACACGCCTGCTGCATGCTTCCCGATGTCAGCGCGGCCGGTGGAGAAGGGACAGGGAGCGGCATAGGTCCAGATCCCAACCCGCTACTGCTAGCTGTGTGACCCTGGCCTGTCACCTCATAGGTAAAACGAGGTCACAGCACCTACCTCTAAGGTAAATCAGAGAATGGGGGTGAAGCACTGAGCTCACTGCCTGGCAGCCGGTTGAGTTCAATAAGTGCTGGGAACCCAAGAAGCCATCTCCTGACCTAGGCGTCGGTCTCAGCGCCTCTGCCTTCGCCAGGGTCCTGCTCTATGGGATACCCTTCCTTTCACTGAGCTGGGGGGTCTCTCTCCTAACAGCTCCCTCCCTGGGGCCTGGGGACAGATCACTTTCGTCCCTGTCACGGAAAACTCCCACGCCTCCATCCTTGTCTCCTCAGCTGATTTTCCCATCTGCAGCGCTCCAGGCTCCCAACCAGCAGAAAGGGGCTCACTGCAGAGGTGCGGAGGGGCTTTTCCTGGCCCCGCGGCTCCCACCCTCATTCTGGGCACGAGGGGTGAGGAGCAGAGAGTGGGAGGAGGGCTCATTCCTATCTGGGAGAGAAGATGAGGCGGGGCCTGCTGCCTGCAGCACAGCATAGACTCCCAACTGCCCAGAGTCCCAGGGAGAGCCCCCACCAACGCAGCACATGCAAACCCCTGTTCCTCCTCCCACTCCACTTTCCACCCTCTGACTCCTCCCCAACATGGCTGAAGACACCGTGGGGACTGGGGGACTTGCTGCCCTCCTCACCTTCACCCAGTTGTGAGCCACCAGGTCCTCAATGCCTGCCATAGGCAATGCACCGTGGCAGGCACAGGGGTTTCCCGTTCTCGGACCCTTGCTTGCTGCTCCCTGATGGCATGATAACTACGAGGGCCTGAGGAAGGGCACACCTGCACCCACTGCCAGTGCAGTCATGAAGTCCTGATCTAAACCACCCCACCACCGCCAGCCGGCTGATGGGCACGCCTCTGTGTTCTAAAGAAACGGCAGGGGACAGGAGGACACGGCTTCCTCCCGGAGCACTCTGCAGATGTGGTCCAGCGGCACAGGAGTCAAAGGGGAGCTCCGTGTGCAAAGGCCAGCACTCACCTTCGTGAGCCCAGATGTGGCGCTGAAGGTCTGAGCCGTTCTTCATGAAGTAGAAATCACAGTACGGGCACTTCATGGCTCTCTTTCCAATCAGCCCTTTCAGCTGAACCCTCCTCCCGAGGACCTCGGAAATGGTGCTCATGGAGACCTCTGGAAGAAAGGCAGGGGGCAATCACAGGGGCCAAGGACCCCGTGCACGCTCCGCACAGACAGACCTCGGGATGGCGCCGATGGGTGAGCCTCATGCTAGCTTCACTTTGCCACGGGCACGGTAAGCAGTCAAAACCTCCATTTCAGAGCAGGCAAAGGGAGAGAAAGTTGTAAAATGTGGATATAGCTTTCCTCATGGGCACTGTCTACCTCCCAGAAAAACCACTGTCAGAAGGTGCCTGTGCCTACGGACTTCCAGTTTAGGCCACCAGAGATCAGAGATGGGACAGAGCACCCCCTTGACTTGCGTCCTCTTAAAGGTCTCCCCTGGCCTGTTTTAATAAAAACCAGGAGGAGGAGAAAGCTAGGCGGCAGCAGCAATGTAAGGACAGGTAGAGGCCAGTTAATGGCTGCTTTACAGCGATCTGCCACCAAGGAGGCCCAGCAAGCCAGCCCCCTGCCTTGCTTTTCCATGTGGAAAGTCAGGGATTCAGCAGAAGTCAGCTTGTGAAGAGCTCTGGCAGCTCTGCCAGCCAGGAGCTGGGTCACCGGAAACAGACCTGCTCTGGAGTCGAAGGACTCCCAGGTCAGAGCCGCAGGCCTTGTTGGCTCTAAGCTGCAAGGCCCTTCACTCGGCTCAGCTTCCAAAGTAACCACCACTGTAGAGCGGATGGCCAAGTAGGGGCAGCAACATTGCAGGCAGAACTGAGTATTAACTAACCAATGTTTTCCTTTTAGAGATGCCACCTGCCTCTCTCTGAGCCAGCTCTCCTCCCAGGCCAGCTAGGTAATGGAAGTCAACAGGGTGCCTCCCTGAAGAGGTTCACACCTCCCTTAGGATGTCTCTTCCCGTACCCCATGTGAAGAGGTAGACAGGTCAGGGCCTCACGCCTGGCCAGGCCTTAAAGCCCACCTGATTATTATCAGGCCCCTTCTGTCAGTTTCTATTTGCCTCTCAATGGGAAAACTTGCTTGTGGTTTAGACAGCATCTTTCTTAGGTCCTCTCTGTCCTTTGTTTTAGATCCTGGAAGTTTCGACTGCTTGTTAGATTTATTTTCTCCAGACGTGAAACAGTGAAATTCTAGGTGACCATGCACATAAAACCTCGGATGGAAGCAGTTTCTGCAAGCTGGCACTGCGTCCCCCTGGATACTCCTGCTGGAACCCTGTCTAGACCCCCTTCCCAGTGAAGCAGCCACAGTGATCATCGCCCAGTCCCCTAACAGACGTTAGGGACCATTCTTCTGCAGGTGGGATGTGAGGAGACAGATGGGTTAATAGGGAGTAAGGGTGGTCTTAGCGGAATTTGGGGTGTAGAATGCTTGCTTCCCTCCCAAAAGGTTATCTTTATCTTTAGCAAGAACAAAACATCCGCCCTCCTTCCTTAGGGATCTCCAAATTCATCATGAGAATAGCAAGGGAGTGGTGATCACAGTTTACTGTGAAAGCAAGTTATCTATTGCACCCTTCTGGATGGCTTTTTGTTTTATCATAAGCAAGCTGTAAATCAGGTCTTCTGATGGGTTCTGTCCTCACCCAGTAACTGGACGTCAGTCTGATTGTCAAGTTTTTTTTTCTTCAAAACTGTACTTAAAATCCCCAGTGCTTGGGGCTGGCACTATGGCATGGCGGGTAAAGCTGCGGCCTGCAGTGCCAGCATCCCATATGGGCGCTGGTTTGAGTCCTGGCTGCTCCACTTCCAATCTAGCTCTCTGCTACGGCCTGGGAAAGCAGTGGAAGACGGCCCAAGTGGAAGACCTGTTAGAAGCTCCAGGCTCTTGGCTTCGGATCAGTTCAGCTCTGGCCATTGCGGCCAACTGGGGAGTGAACCAGCAGATGGAACACCTCTCTCTCTCTCTCTCTCTCTCTGCCTCTCGTTCTCTCTTTGTATAACTCTAATTTTCAAATAAATAAATAAATCATAAAAAAACAGTGCCATGGGGTCCTTTGGGTTTTTTCCTCTCTTGGAGCCCCCCCCCCCCCATGCCACTCTGGTTGGAGGTCTTTGACTCTAATAAACCTTGTTTTTAAAAAGAAAGAAAGAGAGAGAGAGAGGGAGGGAGGGAGGGAGGGAGGGGGAGGGAGGGAGGGAGGGAAGAAAAAAGAAGAAGAAAAAAAAAGAGGTGAGCCTCAGGGGATCACAGGTAGGATTTTTGCCTAAAACGCTGCACCAGCATTGAATTAAGTCCCAAGTCCCAACAGCCGTTAATGTAAAAGATGGGGGGGGGGGGGGAGTGGAGAAACAGTACTGCCAGTGATCAGGCAAACACAGACTACGGGAGGGGAAGCTCGGTCTCTTCCCCCCAGGCAACGTCACGGGGGAAATCCCAGGGAGGTGCACCTTACACACATGGAGGGACACCACCACTCAACAGAAATGCCGGGACTCAGCCAACCGACAAAGGAGAAACCACCCTGGTCAAAGGGAACGCTGTGAGTGGGTGGGCCCGAGGGAGGGGCGAGGAGTTCTTGCTGACCCTGCTTGTTTCACCGGTAGCACGCTGGTCATCCTGACAAACACCTGAACAGGGGCAGAGGCATTCTCAAGTTTTCTCAGTTGGGGCAACTAGAGGACGTCTTGGATACATTTTGAAATATTCTGGGCCGGCGCCGTGGCTCACTAGGCTAATCCTCCACCTTGCAGCGCCGGCACACTGGGTTCTAGTCCCGGTTGGGGCGCCAGATTCTGTCCCGGTTGCCCCTCTTCCAGGCCAGCTCTCTGCTGTGGCCAGGTAGTGCAGTGGAGGATGGCCCAAGTGCTTGGGCCCTGCGCCCCATGGGAGACCAGGAGAAGCACCTGGCTCCTGGCTTCAGATCAGCACGATGCGCCGGCCACAGCGCGCCGGCCGCGGCGGCCATTGGAGGGTGAACCAATGGCAAAGGAAGACCTTTCTCTCTGTCTCTCTCTCTCACTGCCCACTCTGCCTGCCAAAAAAAAAAAAAAAGAAATATTCTACAAAAAAAGAAACTATGCGGTAGATGCATGAAATGAGTGTCAAAACGTAGATAACTGTTTGGCTGAGTTATGGATAAACGGGAAGAGTCCATATATATTTTTTCCAAGTATTTTCATGTTCTAGATTTTCCATAGCAAAAGAGTGCCTTCCATCTGTCTATAGGCAAGGACTGGCCATTGTAAGTGACTATCCCCAGCTCCCATTGGGCCAGTGGCCACTTAGGACACAGGTGAACACAGAGGGTCAGAACCAGGCCCTCACAGAACCACACAGGCTCCAACAACTCCCAGACAAAACACTGCTCATCCCTTTGGATTTATTCCTTACCATTTATAATCAACGTGTCAGTTCACGACACCAAGAGCAGACACAGAAATAAAGGAAAAGAGAAAGGAGGCATGAACAAAGACAGAGGTCCCTGCAGCCTTTTTCTTACTTACAGAACACAGCACCCATGTCTGTTCTCGCAGGCACCATGAATGTGGCCCTGGGGAGCTGGGGGACCCTCATCCGGGCTGAGAACCACAGAAGCCTACCAAGGGCAGGGCTCTGAGCGGGAACTTAAAGAATGTACAGAAATGAACAAGGCAGAACAGGAGGGAAACTGTCTCAGGCAACAAGAACAGAAGGGATAAGGCATAGATGCCCAGGTGGCTGGTGCGTCCACCCCCCAGGCAGTGTGGGATGCGAAGGGACCGCAGAGACAGTCGCCCCAACTCTGGAGGCTCCTCCGTCTGCAGGGGAGCCAGCACCCCTTGTAAACCACCACTCTGAGTTAACACAAACTTATCATAAGGGCAAAGCATAAGACAAAGAAAGATCTAAGTCAGACCCATACCGTCCATGACCACTCAAAAAAAAAAAAAAAAAAAAAGCCACTCAAAGTTCACAGTGAAAAAAGGGGAGGTCACCAAGACTGCAGGGCAGGCAGAGAAAGCTGCATCTAAAGACAACAAGGTAACGTGAGACAATTAGAGAACTCCCCCGCTGTAACAGAGACAACGGCCAGCCTCCCTGTACCCAAGCACCCCTCCCCCGCTGTAATAGAGACAACAGCTAGCCTCCCTGTACCCAAGCACCCATCCGTCTTTACACCTGATCTACAGTGCTGTGTCCTAAAATAAACATAAACATTTTAAATTATTTTCCCATTGTAAATGTTGGACCTTACCAGGATGGTTGGTCTTGATGTGTGACTTTATCAATCGGTCTTCTGAAAAAGACTTTTCACACACAGGGCAAGAATAACTCCTTTTGTCCTTAACAGAAAGAGAACATCATCAATTGATTATCTCATTTAAATCTAGACTCTACAGAAAAATGTCCATCACTGTTATTATCATCATAATTCTCACATCATTACCATCACCACCATCATCATCATCCTCATCATCCTCACCACAACCAACACTATCACCATCATCGTCAGCATCACCACCACCACCATCACCATCACCAACACCACTACCACCACTGTCATGACCACCACCATCAGCATTGCCAAGATCACTGTCACCACCACCATCATCACAATTACTGCACTGTCGCCACACACTCATCAAGTCCAACATACTTATTTACAGCTCCCACCTGGCCCTGCACAGCCTGGAGGGGTGGGGTTTAGAGGTGAGAGTCCTGTGGAGGTGGCAATGGGCCAGGCTCAAACCCAAGGTCAACAGTGTACCCCGCAGACCAGTACTTCTCTATGGCCAATGGCTCATTTTACCCTCTAGCACTCAATGCATGGCTTGCATGGGGATCCATGTAGGTTATTTTATTGAGATAACCACTCACAAAAGATAGGTACTGTTCATACTTGTGTTACAAACTGAGAAACTGAGACCCGATGGCATGAGCTGGGTTTAAATGCAACCCACAGATCACACCCATAAAAGAAAGGGACACAGCCTGTGCCATCTCCTTTCTTCCATCCATGTGGAAGTATTGGCAGAAAAACAAAGGAAATACCCTGCAGGTGGCAAAAGAGTGAGCTAACCTGGCAGAGAAGAGGTGCCGAAACCAGTTCTGACTTTGACATAAGAGAAGAAATCATTCCTATCTTGAAAGGAAGGAAGGCAGAGTGGGAGGGAGGGAGGAGAAATGAAGGTGATGAGCCCAAGGCCCAAAAGGAAGAGCCTGCTTCGGACTGCAGAGTGCAGGTGCCCACCCAGGGTGCCTCCTCCCCTCCGGGACCCAAGTGCCCCCAAGGCTGCGGGAGGGGGTTCACCTGCGCTGCTGCTAGCAACACAAGCAGGTCACCAGGCTCACACTCTCCATGAGGGAGATGCTCTCACTCACCTCCCTGTTCTCTGAGCTCACCTGACGGTGATTTATCCAGGGTTAGAGGAGGACACAGGTTGAACTGTGTCCCTTGACAGACCACTGTTTGGAGTCCTAAACCCTAGGACCTCAATATGGGACCTCATTTGGAGACAGGGTCTTCACAGATGCAGTCTGGGGAAAGCGTGATCACTGGGGTGGGCACTGGCCCAGAAAGACTGGTGTCCTATGCAAAAGAGGACCTGGACACAGACGCACACAGGGAGAACCGGTGTGAGGATGGAGGCAGCGAGGGTGACGCATCTGCAACCCTCCAGAGGCTTGGGGGTAGGGGTGGTGGCGGTGGGGAGCAGGTCTCCCTGAGCCTCGAGGGAAGCAGCCCTGCCATGCCTTGGTCCCAGACTCCCCCTCTCCAGAACTGTGAGACCATCAGTGCCTGCTGCTGGACCCCCAGGGTTGTCCCAAGTCCACCTCTTACTGAGATTCAAAATCTGGTGGGAGGGACTCTGCTTGCCCAGACGGACACAGCCTGCAGGCGCCGCATGTTTGGAGGATGCTAACACGGTCCACACTCCGCGAATCTCTAGGAGTGCTGACTTCTGCCAGGGGGCTCAGTGATGCGCACATGCTTTCCATGCCTTCTGGAGGTGAGCCCAGCTCCCACTGCCCGTGGCACAGTCTGCCCCTCCCTCTAAACAATGACACCACAACAGCTATGGCTTCTGAAGCACCTCTTGCATGCAGGTGCTTTGCACATCACACCTTGTGGGCCTTCAGGAACACACAGAGGGCAGAGCTGTGCATCCAAACTGGGCCATGGGCACCAGAGCCCCCGCTCTTGTGTGACAGTGACCAGTGCTGTCTCAGGGCTCAGAACACCTCGGCTGAATTCTGGGGAGCTGGGAGACTCTGGGCAGGTGATTTAAACATTCGTTGCCTCAATTTTATCATCTCTAAAATGGAAATTAAAACTATCTCCTTGGGGCTGGCATTGTGGTGCAGCAGGTTAAGCTACCGCTTGCAATACTGGCATCAAAGGTCAGAGTGCCAGTTCAAAACCCAGCTGTTCCACTACTTTTTTTTTTTTTTTTGACAGGCAGAGTGGACAGTGAGAGAGAGAGAGAGAGAGAGAGAGACAGAGAGAAAGGTCTTCCTTTTGCCGTTGGTTCACCCTCCAATGGCCACTGCAGCTGGTGCACTGCGCCGATCCAAAGCCAGGAGCCAGGTGCTTCCCCTGGTCTCCCATGCAGGTGCAGGGCCCAAGCACTTGGGCCATCCTCCACTGCCTTCCCAGGCCACAGCAGAGAGCTGGACAGGAAGAGGAGCAACAGGGAGAGAATCCGGCGCCCCGACTGGGACTAGAACACAATGTGTTGGCACCGCAGGCGGAGGATTAGCCTAGTGAGCTGCGGCACCAGCCCATCAGCTGTTCCACTTCCAATCAGCTTCCTGCTGGTGAGACTGGATGGGCAGTGGGATGATAGCCCAAGTTCTTGGGCCCCTGAGACCCACATGGGGAACCAGTATGGAGTACCAGGCTCCAGGTTCAGCCTGCCTAAGTCCTGACTGTTGCAGTCATTTGGGGAGTGAAACAGTGGATGGAGAATCAGTCAATCAATCAATCAATCTCTCTCCCCTCAATAAATCTTTTTTTAAGATTTATTTATTTATTTATTTATTTGAAAGTCAGAGTTACACACAGAGAGAAGGAGAGGCGGGCGGGGGGGGGGGGGTCTTCCATACGCTGGTTCATTCCCCAACTGGCTGTAACGAATGCAGCTGTACAGATCCAAAGCCAGGAGCCAAGAGCTTCTTCCAGGTCTGCCATGCAGGTGCAGAGGCCCAAGGACTTGAGCCATCTTCTACTGCTTTCCTAGGCCATAGCAGAGAGCTAGGTCAGAAGTGGAACAGCCAGGATTCGAACTGGCACTCACATGGGATGCTGGCACTGCAGGCAACGGCTTTACCCACTATGCCACAGCACCGGCCCCCTAAATAAATCTTAAAAAATAGAAGCAAAACAACAATAACTGAATCACCTGCCTCCTCCATCCCACGCAAGAGTGCTCAGAGAAAAGCTTGGACTACAGCGAGTGCCCGGCCCACCTGGAGCCTCTGAAGGGGTCTTGGAGCCGTGGGCTCCCACAGCAGCCCAAACTCTAGCTGTTCCCTAGGCTAAGGCGCCTCGCAGCTCCACAGGAAGTTGGGGATGAGTGCCCCCCTCACTGTGGACTGGCTGCAGGCCGCTGCAGACCACCTCCCCGGGGCCAGTGCTCCTGCAGCACGCTCAGGAAAGGCGCATTTTTATATTCGAAACAAAACTCAAGCCCCTCCCACAAGGTCTGGATGCATTTCCCAACACTGCCACGCTGGGGGCCTCAGTCCTGGCTGTCTGGCCAGGCAATGCCGCAGACCTCCCCCAGCTCCATCGCAGGCCTAGAGCTTCTCCACGGGCCTCATGCTTGCACTGCCACTTTGCAGACACCTGGGGGAGGCCTCCATGGCCCCTGGTGCCCTGGTCATCAGAGCGGGTGGAGGCATTCCCACGGGATCGGACAGGGTTTCCAGTGATCCCCCCGCCCCGCCCCCGTGAGCCCCTGCTATTGTTTTTTTTTCTTTGAATCTCTGATAGTCCGAAAGCGATTTCTCTCCGAGCTTACCGGGGCCCTTGTTTCAGACTCCTTTGAAGATTGCCGGAAGGACACAGGCGGAGCGAGAGGGCGTGGAGGAGGGGAGAACTCCTAGATGCATTTGCCTCTCTTACAAACCCTCAGTACCCTGCTGCAGATGAAAACCTGAACTGACGTGGCAAACTTAAAAGAGTGGCGGTTGAAAGAGTTCCCAGGACACGCGGGAGCGTGAGAGCTGTAGCTGTGACAGCAGGAGAGCCCAGCCCTGGAAGTCTGTTTGCTCCAACACAAACTGCCTTCAAAGCAGCCAGGGCACTTTGAAAAGAGGGAGGTGTCAGCAGGAGGCGGCAGCCACGGCTGGGGGCGCAGGGGCTCAGGGCCTGGCTCTTGGCTACAGGCAACCCCACAGGCTGTTCTCATGGGTGGGAAGTCAAACGCCACCCCCCACCAAATGATGCCACCGTTGCATGAGTGAGTGCACCTATGAAATATCTCTCATAGAGGCACAGAAATAAAGGTGGGTCGCACCCTGAACAATGTCTCAGGCAGAAGGACCATGGTGATGGCATCTGCTTTCCCCCGTGGGTTCGCTCCCCTGGTGTTACAAGGCCCCTGGGACCACCAGGCCCTGCGTCAAGAGGAAGGTGGGAGACGCTTGAGCTCATGGAGGGAGATGTGACCGGCACGCAGCCTCGGAAGCCAGGGAAGCTGGCGCCCCCATCGGTGACGGATGTGAGCAAGTCAGCAAAGAGCCAGCGCGGGCGCCATTCAGGGTTTCAGCTCCGGAAGTTCTTGCCCAGGGCAGATGGTTCTGTTTTACCAGGCCTCTTCCATGGAGAATCTTGGTTCTAACCAAAACAAAGCTGCTCTCCACCCAGGAGGGTCTCACAGCCCCGGGTCTCCTGCCCCGTAAATAAATGCCCACAGCCACACAACACCAAGCGGTTCTGTGATAAAGAAAAGTCCACATTCTCATGGTCTTTGGAAAGGAAAAATGTTGTGTTCATCACTTCAGTTAAGTAACATTTTTCCTCTACTTAAAAAAAAAAAAAGAGAACATTGATCAGGTTTAACTACTCATTTCCTCTACTTTCTCTGCACTTTGTTGACAATACATTGTTCTAGCTTATTTTCAGAAAGTATACATAAGACTGACTCAATATGTTATCCGCTATAGCCAAAAGTTGACTATGGACCTCTCAAAAGCGGAAGCCAAGAATCTTAAATGCTTGTTGAGAAACCATCAGGCCCGGGATGGATGCTCCAGTGCCACGGTTCCTCTTCTCCTTGGAGGAGGAGCAGGAGGAAGAGAGAGGAGGGATGACTGATGACGGACAGGTCTCCCTGTG